GTACCTAGAGGCCTTTTGTTAAACAAGCTTAGCCTTACACAAACTGAGTCCTGGGCTATCAACTGGCTGCACTCTTACTTCTCCAATAGGATGCAGTACACGGTATATAATGGTGTAGCTTCCTCTCCTTTGCTTACTGAAGCTGGTGTTCCTCAGGGTGCTGTTCTCTCGCCGTTTCTCTTTTCCTTCTTCTTACATGACTTACCTCTCTCAGACGAAATCAACTTCGTCAAATATGCAGATGACCTGACTGTTTCGCTTCCCGTTAAGTCTCAGTCAGACTGCTTCAAATTAAATAGCTTCCTGTCGGACATCAGTCAGTGGTCTAAACTAAATGGCCTAACGCTGAATCCCTCAAAATGCCAGACTGTCGACTTCTCCTTTAGGCATAAACGAGATCTACAAACACTAGTAAGCACTCATGATGTCTGTAGAATTGAGGGGACTATAATTGAAACAAAGTCTAATGCAAAATACCTCGGATTAGTTATATCTTCCGACCTTACCTGGTCATCTCATATCCAAATGATTTCCAAGAAAGTGTTTCGTCTAACCTACTACATTAAGAAACTCAGACTAACTGGAGTCCCTCAACCTCTGCTTTCACAATTTGTCAACTCTCGTATCCTACCTATTCTACTTTACTGTTCCCCGTTAGTCTTTCCTGGGTTACTGAAAAAGGATTATACCATCCTGAGAAGGATGTTGAAGGTAGTTAGTAGGACTAGCGGTGTAAAACTCAGTCAGCTCGTCACAACATTAGTGGATAAGCATCTGAATACATGTGAGAAATGGTCTAAAACCATACTCTCTGACCCCCAACACCCCCTCTATTCCCAACTCTCTCCTTGCATCTCATCAGGTAGAACCAGAAATCAGTACAAAATAATATATGCTCGTACAACCAAGTATAGGAACTCAACGATACCATATTTGGCCCGTGTTCTAAGTGACAGAGACAATGTTAAGCGTGAAACCTATGACTTGCTTTGTTGTTAATAACATAATTTTGGCCCTTGTTATTTCCCCCTTATACTCTCTTATTTGTACTCTATAGTGAACAACCTTCTTAAACATACTTAGCTGCTTAAAATTATTATCATTGGCTTACTTTTTTTCCACTTTTATTCTATTCCTTCTTTTGTATATCTACTGGGTCCGACTATATTATCACTATGATTATTAAAAATTGTCCCGTCATTAACCATCATGTAACATTAGTTTTGTGGTTGTTCTTTGTTCGGCACTATTTAACTGACAATCTTGTTTGTTATTGCCACTATCACCATCTTAAAAAATTTTGTATTATGCATGATTCCTCACACTACCACTACAAACACCGCATTAGTGCTGACAATAAAAAAAACACAACCTGAAATGTTTATCTTATGATTGTTTAGTGTTGTTCAATCAAATTAACTGATCATCTTGGCTATAAACATTTTTAAGAACATCTCATAATTTTTGTATGATTATAGCTGTTACTGTTCACCACGCATACACATATCGTAGCTTCCACTAACCAATACTGAAATATTTTTTTCATTATTTGTGTTTATCTTCCTTTTTACTTGGTATTTTTATTTGCATTTTTTTTCTTATGTTTTTTTTGTTATTTCTGTGTTTCTTTTTTTGGTTTTTTTTTTTTTGTGTGTGTTTTTTTTTATAATACTCCTTTTAAATGTACGATGAAATTAGATGCAATATTGTAGATATGTGCTGAAAATTCCACACTGTACCACAAGTACTGTTTCTGGAATAAAGCGAAATTGTTATTGAAGTTATTGAGTTATTGAATTAACTATGAAGCAGTACTTGACATCATATCATGTACTATATATAGTAGATGCCCAAAATCGGAGATTCTTCTGTACGAAGCATTGAGAACATATGTTATTATTGATAGCGGAACTCAACTATAATCTGAGGGTGTCTGTAGGGATTCGATTTCTCCTACTTCTCACTGCGGATGATCACCAGCTAGTTGACCTTTAAAAATCAGGGAGTGCGAGACAGCTGTTTAGTTTCGACTCATCGGCAGCACTCATTCACTGTATTTCCAATCCATGACTTTGCGATTTCAAGGCAATCTCGTAGGCGATTCAGCCACTGGAACCCAACTCAGTGCCCAATTCATAAATTCTGACTTCTAACAATTCGTGATTTTAGCGCAACCACCTGCCAGTGTCATCAGTGAGTGTTTGACTCCATACCCTACTAGATGAACCCCTCTGGCCACGACTTCTCACACAATATCAGAACAGGATTAAAAGGTTTTAGGAGCTTTATGTTCCGAATCACAAATACTGTGCTTCGGCGGCATAGTGGTTAGCACTCTCACCGTCTATACATATGGTCCGAGGTTCGATCCCCTGCCAACGCACACCTGATATCTATGGTCGGCCTGCGAAATTCGGGCTACCGATATCCATGCTGAAAGTTCCATACTTGTACCAAAAATATAGCGTGGAATCAAGCTGTAATCAAAAACAAACCAAAAAATAAACACATCTACTACCACTTGAGTACTATATGATAGGACATAACTTAATGCATGAAAGTTTTGTTTGACTAAGACCTAGGCCCTATTTTTGACTTCAACATCAGTATTTAGCTTTTTTCTAGCAGCAGCCACATCTGTAGTAGTCCAAATATTAATGCAGCTACCAGTCATTTTAGAACTTATCACATCCTTATTTTGATACTTCCGAATATCTTATAGCTTCTGTTTCATTGCATATGAAATAGTAAGCATACAGTCAAGACGATCTCACATGTGAGATGATGGTGATGTTGAATATCCTGATAGGGCCATTTGTCGGAGTGCTAACCGTTAGACGAATACGGCACCCCACCTAATCAATTTCACTAGTACCATTCGTTCTTTTGGACTTGTCAGTATTAGACATTAAGTTAAGCCACATTGAATCAGCCAGAGATGACTTCACTCAGCGCACCAGACCTGCTATAGATTTATCAATCCTATTCACGACAGTGTATCTAGGTTTCTTAATCATTTCATGTACACTTGTTTGGATATGTTGGTAAACTCCTGTCTGTCTATAACTACCACTGTAATGCCCTTGCCTGATTCGGAAATCACTGAGTGGCTGTCATTCCTCAATTTTTAGAGTTGACATTTCTTGTTGTGTTGGCTGCTTTCTTGCACTCTCTTCTATTGATTCAGTGGTGGATATTATTTTCGAAGTACTATCATTTAATTATTTAATTCGTCCCCTGGATTCCTAATGGAACATAAGGCTTCACCAGGACTCCAGTATTTCCCACAAACTGTTATCGTGTCTTCACATTATCTTCTTTCCCGTCTGCATTGGACAACAAGCTCACTGCTTCGTATTCGAATTCCAGTCGATGAACAGATATGTGATGTCACTCACTAGTCTCCTTAGAGTATGTTCAATACACTTCTACTTACTCCTGCATAGTTTCGGGCAGAGGGTTGTATTGATGCGATGCTTCCCACAGTTCCTTACTGCTTCTCTGTGTTGGTCAACCATGTGAAATACCGTATCAAGCGAAGGCATCTGTCGATTGAGAACTTTTTGTGACATGTTATGTCTGTCGTCATTTACAGTAACAATAATTTGTGAAAAGTAATAATACACACAAGAAACCATTAGGAAAGGGACAAATTCACAGCATTTCTGTGGAGGTTGACTGGTAGCTCATCAGTTTCGGGAATGGTGTTTCGACCATAGTACTTCAGAAACCATTTACCAGTCGTCAAACTGAAACACACACATTTGACGTGGATCACAGCATGGTTCATACACCAATCCACAACAAAATGTGGAAGCTTTAGAAATGCAAAGCATAGTTGAGGAAGAGTGTTGTTTACCAGCATTGTTCGCTTATTTAACCGTAGGTTGAGTAGGTGCAACCCAACATGGCGGCGTGTAAAATGGTATGGACGCCTAACTGCTTACCTTCATTGAGTTCAGTCAACTTAATCAGTGATCGTTAACACCCATTGACCGGTGATCACAAATAAGTAGGGTGAAAACTTGAGATAATTTATTATCGCTACATACTATTGGCTTGTATTTCTCGTTTATCTTCGGCTCTCGCCGCTCATCCATCATTCGCTGAAAAACATCAGTTAGAAGGCATTTTGTCCATTTTCAATTTAAGTTTTCAAAGTTCATGGAATTTTTTATTCTCATTGTTGACACCCACTTTTCATGTTAAGTAGTACCTATTATTTGGTAGTTCAAACTGTCCTGTGAAGTGTTTTTTCATGTATTTAGTACAACGTCATATTATGCCGATTCTTCAGTCTACTACTGAACTTTGTCAACATTTAATCTTCCTAAGAACTGCTGAGTATTGCTAATATCTCTTTATGACAAGATGTCTTGCATATTTCAGAGTACTGAAACCAAGCTCATGTGACACGCAGGGAAAATTCCGTCCAAACTTTGAAATAAAACACTTATTTTAACACACAACAAATTTACGTGTGGCGAATTTTCTTGCAAAAGCAGTTGACTTCTAATTTTGGTAGATCTTAAGTCTACCATAAAATTTGTTGGCAAATGCAGATTGGATACCATAAATAACTCATCTGAAAAAAGTGTTTTTAATGTCATTTACATAGTGTCTCATCTCACCAAAATATAGTTGCATTTTCGTGATAAAATTCTTTCTCTACACTAACATAAATGTCATGCCTTTGTGACTGAATATGAATACGTGTGTGGTTGTGTGTAGATGTGTCGATGTGCTTAGGTGCAGATGTCTGATTTCATCAATGAGGGAAACAATATGCACCTGACGAAAAGCATACTGCACAATCAATCAAATTTTATTCATACTATTCGGAATGCTAATTGATATAGTCTCAAAACTTCTGATATAAATCTAAGTATTAACAGAAACAATTTTCTAAATCAACTGAAATATGCAGGGTGACAAAGTGTAAGCACTTCTGAAACTGTATGCGTTTAATTATTAATCATATGACATTTCACAAAACTTACCCAGATATTATTAGTAGTATTCTTGGTGTGGAAAATGCTACTGAGAAGAATTTATCAGTAGTCTGTTGTTTGTGCTGTCGTCTGAAATAGCCTTGAATGGTCGATCGACAGATTAAGTTTGTAGGAGGAGAAGGACAGACGATGCTTGTGGAACAATGTAGAAATGAGTGAATCGAAGATGAAACAATCAGAATACGAATAACTTTTGAAAATGGAAATTTTAATACAAGGTTTCTGTAGTTTGCCTCCACTGTACATAACTTCACCAAACAAGCAACTCTGTTGTCAAATGACAATGCATGTAGCAGTTAGAATAGTGATAGTAATAATGGGCTGAGAGTAACAAGATTCTAAACGAAAGAGCTTCGCCAAATCACTTGATACCACTGAACTGGGTGAAACGATGCACTCATAAGATGAAAGTAATCATTGATCGAATTAGATCAACTGCAGGAATGAATCTCACCATTTTCAAGCTTCATTAGAATCATACTATCATTTTTATTAACAGAAGAGAATAAAACTGGATGAGTCTATATGATTTATGTAAAAATAATATCAATAGAATGGGTAGTTGGAACCACCAAAATATTGACCAAGTGACGGTCCAATGAATAAATAAATCTGCCTGCCTATTCTTCAGAATATCTTCAAAAAAGTAATTTGTTAGTAGCATCATTCTCATTGCTACAGAATGACATCACAAACAAAAGCATTTTACACCACCAAGTGTGAATTTCAAGTGAGTGTGCTATGAATGTGCTTTGATTAACACTTAATCGCATTATTTGTTGACTACGGGTGTGTTAGCACAGTAGTCAAAATGAATTCATGGAACGCCTATTAGCGGAACATTTGTAGAAATAACAGGAAATGTGTTATAGATGTTGAGGACATTGGGTTAGGGGTTATGAATGCATGTCGTAAATAGTATAACATCAAAAAGAACTGCAATTAACCAGTGTGGTGATATGGGATTTGACGATGAACAATAAATTTTCCTGGACAATTCACCAATTAATAAATAATAATATTTCATTGTTTGCTAAATATCAAATAAAATTATCCCCTCAAGTAATTCGAGAATCCGAGTTTCAGAAAAGCTACTCATAATGGGTGAAAATACCACACAAATAATTCAAGTTAACCCAAGTAATTAGTACCCACGCATAACACATATCCAATGCAACCTAACTTATTAAAAAGATATTAAACAGGAAATTAAAAAGGAAGATGATATGAAGATCGCCAAACTGGTTGTTTGAGTAGAAAGGATGAACACTAAAGTCGATATGCAAGATGTTAAAATGAGATAAGTGACAATCTGTTAGGCTGTTAGGTAATCAGTTGTGAAGGTATGAATTATGGAATGTACCTTTTCGAAAAAATCGATTAGACTTAATGAATTCACTGATTCTTTCTTTTTGATGAACTCAAGCCCATCTTTTTATTGAAACAAGTGTAAAGATTTAATCACAGCCTAATGGATTACGTATTAAGGGTAGGAGAACTATTGCCGTTGTCGTGACGCTTTAGACATGCATGGAGTCACATCCTGCGTACCATATTTCCAAACATAAATAGATCAACACAGTAATACTTGTGTCATTAATCGCGTGTACATTGCTCTATTAAGTGAAGCATATGAAGGAAACGCTTAGCAAGTGAATACGGAGTGCTTCCTGGAACTGTGAACTGCGGATACAACATGCTCACCAGAATTATATCGGTCTTATACTGTAGAACAGCAGTCTAGTGAACACCTCAAGTGATCGACAAACAAGTTGGTAACAATCCAGTCACACAACTAACTAGTATACTGTAATGTAGACAGAATGTGAAACAAATCGTCTGACTTGAATAGATTAGTTAAAGTGAAAAGAGGTGACACAGCTGTTATATATATTTGATCAATTAATTGAACTTGGTCTTTCCATCTTGCAGCAGTTCATGCACAAAGAACACAGAAATACCTGCTGGCAAACATATCAGAATATTTCAAACCAGTCTATTACTTGTGCAGACCATTTTGGCATAAACTAAAACTACACAACACAAAACGCTAATGAAATGTTGTGAATGACTAAATTTGTCACCTGTTCTCTTTCTAAAGAAAGAGAATTCAAGCAAACCAAAGCCTCATTCGTGGGATTACACTCGGTAATGTGTTATGTGGAGCATACTATTTCGCCGTTATTTCAACTATCCGGAAAATGATATATTCACAACACCAGTTTGTAAAAATTAAGTCAATGAACATCTTATGAATGAGAGAAGGTCAGATGGTGACAGAGAATAGATTAAATCACTGTTGAAATACACTCCTCCTTGCCTTGAAGGGACAAGTGAATTTCCAGTGAACACTAAAAGTTGTTAGTTATGTGCAAATATATGTGTGTCATATATAATAAAGTCAAATTAAACAGCAGTTCTTCGAAAAGAAGATAAATCTGTCAAGTTCATGTTGTGTCGTTCACAGTGAGTGAAGTTGTGTGACAGTCAGTGCATATGTAAATTTGGATGATATGTGATGTCTGAATGTTATTAGTAATGGAAACATCTAATGTTCAAAATAATGTGATGAATAAGATGATGGAAATGCAAAGTGACAAGAGTACTTTACTGTTTGCAATACATTTAACTTGTTTTGATTCAGCTGGGAAGTAGTCGGCGTCGAATACTCTGTAAATGAGTAACAGTAACAACACCGATAAATGAGATTGACGCGGTATTATGAATTTGCAATGAACAACATTGTTAAAATCAAGACAATAATCAGTCTTAGTTCACTTGACCAGGCAGTCTGATATTTCCTAATGTCAAGTAAAATAACTAGTGGTGACTGCAACATTCAGTGATTTGTTCTCTTTCTGACTAATCCTAATCCACTTAACATTTCCAACGAGGCGGTTATTTAGTGCGTGGTTTTCACGATGAACAAGAACGAATTGGTGATCAGATTATCAAGGTAGATTAAATGAGAAATGATGTCAAGGCGATGTTGACAAGTAGACGATACATTTAAGGAAATGAAATTGTTGAAATCAGGTTTAGAATATGAAGAAATGGTCAAAGCTTGATTAACAAGTTCCAGGTTGAATAAGGATGCAAAGATTGGGGTGGTGGGGTCGACGAAATTTTGAGAATCAGGAGAAGTTATGCGCACACAAGTACACTTGGTGCCCGCTCGCGTCGTTCAAGAGATGAGACAACTCAAACATACCTACTGGAGTCCAACACTGAAATATTTCTTGGCTATAATCGAGCACCTTGTCAACATTGATCAATCGGTTTCAACAAATGCCACGTTCGAAGTAACGTACAATGTAAAGAACCACTTGACAAAGACAATATCCTTCTGTCTTCTCTGCATTGCTGGAGAATTCGCTATTCATTTAGTGAAACCTGAGCTTTACATGCAGAGGAAAGCTGTCCAACCCCTTCTATCATCACGTTAACTACCTTGTTGATTTCTGCCGACATGATTATTGTTTCTTCATTTTCCTAACTCCTTACAACTCTTCTGTTTCTTTAAGGCTCTTGCACACTTTCATATTTTTCTTCGTTTCTATGTGAATTCTGATTACAGTTCATTCATTCAACAATCCATTTCATTCATTGAGTAACTCTAATACACTTGTTCAACTGCTCTTATGCATCGACTAATATTAACAGTTGTGTCTGGGAAAACTCATCACTTTTGTTATTACCATCTGTCAGGAAAAACAGTTGTATGCAGATGTGATTGTACATCTAAAGAAAGTGAGTTCGCTGCAAACAGCCTCTTCGCTGAACTATGTGCACGGTTTAGATGCATAAATAGTAATTTTCAAAGATCTACGTGAAAATAAATTCATGCTAGTTGATGGGTCATTTCAAATACCAGTCATTATCTTTCGAACTGTTCCGAAATAAACACAAGTATGATATATATAGGAAAAGATCTCACCCATATTCAGTGTAGAGCTCCTCAGCATAATTTTCATCAACAATTTCTTCTCTGTACGCATCAAGAGTTGCTTCTGGGGGTACATCAATAGGTCTTTGTGGAGTTTCCCCAATAGTTTCTTCTTCAGGTACACTAATAGTCCCCTCTGAAGGTATGGTGTTTTCTTTTGTAGGTACATCAATAGTTTCCTTTGAAGGTTTATGAATAATTTCTTGTGAAGGCTTCCCTGAAGTTGGCAAGACAGGTTCCTTTGGTTTCTGTCCTTCAGCAAATGAAACATCTTCTATGACGATCCCGGTCCCTGCTTGACAGAAACCTGTAGATAAACAATAGATTCGATATAAGACTTGTTGACCCCCAGCAAGTTTTTCGAGACAGATCATACGGCCATTGTGTTTCAGCAGCTTTTTCATCTAGGTCATTTGTGTAGAAAAAGTGAACACCAGAGGAGAATAACATCATTATGTGATTAGTTGATAATCCCTAACAAAATCTGGAAACTTAAAATGACAGCGATTGATAAACTAGAATAGAATGTAGCCTTAATAAGTATCAGTTGGTGTGCAGACACCTCCTAACATCACACAAAGAAAACACCCACACGAGGAAAAAATCATCAAAATTGTGAAGAAGGGATGCAATAGGAAATGTGTTTCCTCGAATCTGTGACAATTTAGTTTAAAAACCACTGGTTGTTAACACTTAATAAACGGATTATATTAATTTGAATTAAATTGTTTACGCCATATTTGACCTGACTAGTCCGTCTTCATTAAATATATTCCTTCTAAATATCTTACTCTGTGTTTATTACAAGACATGAATTATGTTATCCTCTCATGCTTTTTAGTTCGTATTTCATATGGGAATACTGAAGCATCAGACCAAATTTCCAGGCTTACAACCTGTATACCTGTGAATAAGTGAAACGCTGAAGAAAATTTATAAGTGTGAGAATATATTTTCTCACTTAGTTCATTTACCAAGTGACACGTTCAGTTAATAGATCTCAATTAACACAATTAAGGTCAGACAGCACTAATGGCTATCATCTAGGAAGAAATTCAGTCACACGAAGATCTAATATTCTCATATTCACTGGACACAAACGGCGTCGATCAAGGTGAACAGATAGTTCAGCAGAGGAAACAAAATTTAGTTATATTAACGCCGGGGTTGATTTAGATTTACATTTACAAATAAATTTTTGGATTTATGACAAAAGAAAATGTCGGAAGGAGTATCAATGACAGTATTGTGCGTCGGTGGCACAGTGGTTAGGACTCTCGCCGACCATGCACATGGTCCGGGGTTCGAGCCCGCACCGACGCACACCTGATATCTATGGTTGGCCTGCAAAATTTGGGCTACCGATATCCATGCTGAAAATTCCATACTTGTACCAAAAATACAGTGTGTAATCAAGCTGTAAATCAAAAATAAAAATAAAATAAAAGTATTAGTTAACTAGACATATTTCGTTCCTAATGGATTCAGTGAGAGGTTTTGCTGCTAATTTATGAAGTCATGTCTTATTTAGGTATTCATACAACAAACTGAATAGACCAGACTACTATAACAGTAACATTCACTTGATTTCATTGCCGACGAGAAATCCTAACTCACAATGGGTATGTTTTACTCGACCAACCAATTCATACATAGTATAAATAGTATTAATTCCCTATAAATATGGATGAAATGTTTTGCTATCATAAAAATTTAAATCAAGCTTGACTGAATTTAAACTGAAAAGTTTAGTATTATCATTTCAGAGAGATCGTATTCTGCAGTTGCAAACTATGACATGATAGACATGAACTGCAACGAGTTCACGAAATTCTCACTAGATGTATACGTTGATGTAAGCGTTGGTTCAGCGTGACTAATATTCATTTCACCAAAAGGAGAGATATGTCCCTGATTATTCTGTGGATAGAGTCATGATGAATTGTAAAACGAATGAGTGAGTGTTATAATACCTGGTTCTCTTAAAATAACTGCGTCCTCTGATCAAAATCAGCAAGAAATATTTGACTAGATAACATTAAACTAAAAATAGGAAGTGAAGTGGTAGAGCACGTTGACCGCTTCACTTATTTGGGAAGTACCATCAGCCCCAACGGGCTGATCTCTGACGAAATCTCAGCACGAATACAGGGGGCTCGTTTCGCATTTGCTAGTTTACGCCGACTCTGGCGTAGACGAGATGTTCGACTATCGACCAAAGGGCGGGTGTACTGCTCATCAGTCCGCTCCGTCCTCCTTTATGGTTGTGAGACCTGGCCACTCAGAGTGGAAGACATGAAAAGACTAGCTGTCTTTGATCATAGGTGCCTGCGCTCTAATTCCCGTGTGAAGTGGCATAATAAGGTGAGCAACATTGAGGTTAGGCGTAGAGTTCTAGGTAAACAGGGAAATCAATCGACGAAGTTGTGAAATTGCAAAGACTGAGATGGTTAGGACATGTGTTACGTATGCCTAGTCATCGCCTTCCTCGACGAGCAATGTTAGCGGATATAGGGTCAGGCTGGAAAAAAGCTAGCGGCGGTCAAACAAAAACTTGGCACCAGTCAATGAAATCCACAACAGTTGGTCTAAGCCACGTAGGAAGGTGTAGACTTCCAGGCTGGGGTCCTCGGGACAGTAAAAATCTATGGTTGGAAACAATTGGTGACATGGCTCAAAATCGTTCTCAGTGGCGCAGATGCATCCACTCCTTGTGACTTATGATCTCCAATGAAACTGTTTTGTTTTTCTTTATTACTCCTTTGTCTCACACCTCTGCTCACTGTTTCTATTATGCTTTTCTTGTACTTTATTCTCTTGCTTCGCGTGCTACACGGAGTGTGGCGACTTGAACTTCCGCACATTTGTGTAAAGTTCTATGTCGAAAACAGACAGACATTTACTTCTATACGGATCAGAAACTTGGCGGGCGGGTCACGAAGAATATTTCCAACAGCCTGTTGCAGACCTTTATCAACAACTGTCTTCGCTGGCTCTATACTGAAGATCAGATGGCCGGGCTGGAAAGAATCACCAACAAGAAACTATGGGAACAAACAAAATAAGAATCAATCGCCCAACAAATATGCAGGAGGAAATGAAGACGGATTGGACACTGGCTGAGGAAGCCGGGCAGCTGGGTGACATCGCGCTCGCGTCAGGCCATTGCTTGAGTCGAACCTGAAAGGGAAGCCGCGAGTGGGACGTCAGTGCAAGAATGACATGGAGGAGATCGTGTGAAGAGGAGTTGAAAGAGTATGGACTAACATGGATGCTGGTGAAAAGTACAGAGGAAGACAGAAGCAAGTGGAGACGTGCAGTTGAAGCCCAATGTTCCACTGAGAGCCCAAGGGAGCATTAATAATAATAATGTACATGGAATACTGGGGTGAGGTAAACAGATTCAGGTTTCGGGTGAAGTACAAAGCTTCAAGTCTGTACCTCTCCCTTCATTACAAGTACATACACTTCATCAACTCTTTCCTAAAGAAATAGACTGAAGGCTCGAACACCATATCTTCTAGCGTTTGATCCTAATAATTAATAACTTGATGAGTGGACCATAAATTGACAGCGAGATAGTTCCGTGTTTGCTTTTGTATCGCAGACCAACAGACATGTGTATTCAGTATGCCAGATAACTTCTTAATTCTCACTGATAACATTCTCCTCATAGAGCATTAGTTTCTTCGGGGCTTAGATGCATTTCCTGCCAAATATATTCTTAAAATTTACAGTGTGGGAAAAAATGTTTACAGACTCACTTTATTCACGACGTTTTTATCCTTTGTGTAAACAAAGATAGCATCAAACGGAGTCTCTTTTGACCAATCACTTTGAATGTCATGGGATGAAAATTGAATTTGTTTCCCCAGTTGCAAACCCAAATAGTGACCTCTGTTGCCATAATTTAACCAATTCTCCACATTCTTCGAAGCCAGCTTAGTTAAATCCCTATTAGGCAGGGCTGCTACAGTGACACCAGAACTACCAGTCTTCAGGAGAAATACAAACAAAGAGAATAGAATTGTAGACTGCTTAATGCTTAATAGATTTCCAAAAACAGATAAAGAGCTTACCACATATTGTTCTCGTACAACGCTATTGACACAGGATTACCTGTAAGAAGGGAAAATTGTTTATATAATTTTTTTCAACCTAAATAAATCTTGGACACAATAGTGACTATGGTCTATGTGTGGAAATTTCCATGATCACAGCATTCCCAGTTGTCAGTATACTATACTGTATCTCACTGCATCAGTTGAATGCGGCATCAGAGAATAAAGCAAGATAATGTTAGTGCACATTTCATCATGAACCAACATCAGTTGAAGATTACTTGGAAGCCAAAGAGTAATGAATAGGTCTTTTGTCCCATTTCGCGACCATTCATCATCGCACATACACTCCAGCAGGAATCAAGCTCATTATACGTAGTAAGTCTGTTCATTGTTCAGTGACTACATCAGAATCCAATTTCGCATGAATCTACTGTGCAGAATTGTGGTGATTGACAATTTCTATCTCTGTATTGTTTAAATACTTACTGTTGACTGTTGATATGTTTCATATATGAATTGCATTCTAATTCCGCTAAATACAAATTACTGATTGCTGCCCTCTCTGGGTTTTGATTAGATTCCTATAATTCCGTCATCCCGGTATATTAATACTTCAAGTACAATAAATTACTACAAATTGGCGTCGCGATGGAGCTAAGTAACCTGGGAAAATTTCCTCTTAATGGTTCTCCGCGGGAGATTGCTGATTATTTGGAATGCTTTGATGCGTGGTGCATTTCCAAGAATGTTCGGGATGATAAAATACCTGCTCATTTCATCACCGCTATTGGTCTTGATGCATATAGCCTGGTGAAGAATCTGGCGTTTCCAGATAAACCCATTTCTATGCCATATGCTAAGCTCCGTGAACTTCTTATAGATCACTTCCATGTAACTACTTTTGAGACCAGAGAGAGGGCTCAGTTCAACAAACTGGTACGTTCTCCCAATCAGAAGATAAGAGACTTTATACTACAACTCCAAATTCAAGCCTCAAAGTGTAATTTTGGAGATCAGCTGCATACACAACTACGTGATCGTCTAATTGCTGGAATCAACATTCCTAAATTAGAGAAAGAGTTAATTCAGATTCCTTCTTGTACGTTTCAAACTGCTAAAGAGGTATGTATTACATATGAAGATGTCCATAATGAATACTCTGCTCCCACTACGTCAGTATCTGATGTCATGCTGTCCAAAGTCGAAAATACAAGTGTTCATGGAAAGAAATCCAAACTGCCGTCCACAGGTAATAGAATGCAGCCAGAGATCAAAAACATTAAACCGTGTTTATCCTGTGGAAAGTTACATCTACGAAGCACTTGCCGTTTTCGGAGTGCTAAGTGCTATAAATGTGGTAAAGTTGGACACATCAAGACGGTTTGCAGGAGTTCGAGTACTTATGTTGCTCAACATTCTTATAATTCTCCCAAGCTGTCTAGTAAAATGGAGTCTATGTGTCTTTCAACTTTTCAAAATACTCAAGCTAATCCAACGAAAACCTCCACTGCAAGTTCAGCAACGCAAGTATCAACTGTATTCAAAAATGAGGTAGCTAAGTTGCAATGTGAACTGTCGAAAGCACGAAAAGACCTGAATGAGATGAGAGAGCAACTGAATAAAATTGAGGAATTACTGCATATGCATAGACTACGTCTGGTGAATCCAGAGCATACAAGTTCTTGTGAAAGTCCTGCAAAACTATTCAAATCTCGAATTCTCAAAAAGCATCTGATGTCCACTACTTCTAATGTACATTATTACAAAGATAATAACTACAGACCTTCTGTTGGAATTATACTACAAAAAATGGGAAATCGAGTGGTGAAGATATTAGACATCAAAGATCACTCAGTTCATAACGGACACCTGGACAAAGTGACAATAAATGAAGTAGGTCGTTCCAATTATAATATTATTGATTCCGCTAATAATCCTGATTTTGTAGATAATTCAGAAATAAGTCCAGATAATACTGATGAAAATAATATCACAGAATCAGTTAGGTCGAAGCTACTTGCAAGCAAACCGAGACATCGTTATAAATACGCGAGGAGATATTCGAGGTGTGGCGGATGTGGTGATTGACAATTTCTATCTCTGTATTGTTTAAATACTTACTGTTGACTGTTGATATGTTTCATATATGAATTGCATTCTAATTCCGCTAAATACAAATTACTGATTGCTGCCCTCTCTGGGTTTTGATTAGATTCCTATAATTCCGTCATCCCGGTATATTAATACTTCAAGTACAATAAATTACTACAAGAATACCGCCATCATCATTATTGATGGGCACGCAGATGTTGACTGATATTCACCTGCGTTATAATGCAAACAATATAGATTTTCAGAAGCTCTATTTAAAAGGCGTCAAGAGCAAAATCCAAAATGTGGGAAATGAAGCAGATGTGTGGACGTCACATTGCGAATCAAGAGAAAACTGTGCGTCGGTGGCACAGTGGTTAGGACTCTCGCCGACCATGCACATGGTCCGAGGTTCGATCCCCTGCCGACGTACACCTGATATCTATGATCGGTCTGCGAAATTTGGGCTACCGATATCACATGCTGAAAATTCCATACTTGTACCAAAAATACAGTGTGCAATTAAGCTGTCATCAAAAATATAAAATAAATATAAAATATAAAAAATGAACCATATTAGGCTTCGACGAACTTCACAAAAGTCAAACACACTTGTTTCGTAACCTGAAGGTCTAATGTTTGATTCCTAGTGGTACCATTACTGGACACTTCTGAAGAGTTTCAAACTAAGATGAAATAGCTGTGTTGGGACTTCTTGGTGTCTAGCGACTTTCACAATCTGAAGAACATTTCAGCATTCCGTAGGACAAATGGCACTTGGGTATAAAAAGGAGATTATGCTTCATGACGAGTACTGACAGTCATACACAGTACAAACATTGATAAGCAAGCGAATTAAAGTCAAACAGAAGTCGATAACACAGGTACCAAGACGTAAACGAGTACAGGTGCACAAATCTTCTTAGGGAAGATTTTTCGACATCTCGTCTTGCAAATACAACACACTAGTCAAAGGAGGAATATATATGTGTCACAATAATTTGATCATCAAACAACGGCCAATTATTTTTGCGACGTTATAGGATAACTGTTGACCATTTTGAAATTTGTTCATAGTGATCAGTGAACTGGTATTTTGTTACGTTGTATTTTGCGTTACATGTTTAACATAAGTCCATATGAATATTTCAATGTAGATATTGTATTATTAAACACTCCTCAACCGATTTCAATAAGTTTCCTAGGGCCTATGTATATTTTCCACATGGGTTATGCTGACTCCATGAAGTGTTGACACAAGGCTTTTTAGCAGTGATAAATACATCTGAGATAAAGGGAATTAGCATAATATTTCAGCGCAACAGACTTACCATAATCGACACACACGCTGTGAGGTATCCACTCCCTGGATCAAGAACTAAAACACGACCACCATTTGGAACGCCGGGTCTTAGTAATGTCAGAATGAATAATTGCTAAATTATGAAAGATAAAATGAAAAGTACGTTTTAATTTATGTAAGTATACAAGCATACCTGTATCATGAAAACATATGATGGTCGTTATATTTCAACGTCATTCATTACTGTCTATCACTTTAATTTAACCGAAATGTAGACAGGTGAGCGTCGGTCTAGTCTGAAGATTATCGTAGTTGTTGTCAGACATGACATTTTGCTCTGTGCAGGATATGTGCTATTTTCCTAGAATCTTGAGGAAACTCACTTTTACTCAAGGATACTATCTAATCTCAACTACCATATCATACTTGAACCGAAATCTCTCACATAATGAAATTGATCTACATATTTCACTGAAGACTAGTCAGCCTGACTCGTCTGTGTAATGTCAAGGAAGACACGCCTAATTCTGCATTGAAAATACGCTTACAAACAATGAATAAAACCGTGTGAACGATTATATTTCAAGAATTTCCATTAGCCAGTGTTATTAAAATATGAGGTTTGTAGATACTCATCGAACAGTTCAAAGAATATATTTTGTATAATGACGTCATTATTGAGGACTCCAATGTGTTTATTTTCCCCTCAGGTAGTGCGGAACTGCACAAAATAGCACCTACATCACGTTTAAATCATAGTAAACTAACTGGTGATCGAATCAATGAATGACAAACACTATGCAGTCATCAGTCATGGTTTCGAAATCTTGAAAACATTTATTCATCTGCTAAATCGCACGGTTTATCATTGTACAGTTACATAATCCATACTATCACATCAGACTTGGAGCATGATGAGACATCCAAATTACAATTTGGCTAGGAAAACTGAATTTTCATCCAAATGCTTGAGTTTTGGGTAACAAAAATATGATTGTTTTTACATGTCAGGCAGTCGTTATTGTGTGAGAAGCAAGTAATTGGATTAGCAGTGGCTTAACAACGATTATGTGAATATTTAATTTACAGTGTCCACTCTGTCTGAATGTATGGAGGTCATTCCCATGTGCATATTGACACTCATGCATTTGTTCTTCTAGTTATAAGGTGCACTTTGAATGACGAAGGCAGTAGTCAGTTAAATGTAGCAGTGAAAAGAACTAAGCATACAAATAAGCAAATGAACTGTGTGGCAAACATGAGTCAACACACGGATGTTTATATGAATGTACTTCATCTAACGAAAGTTTCTAGATAGAGACTACAGTGAACCTGTCAATGCAGCAAACATGCGTGTGTGTAGGCTACTGTTTGATCTTAGTCTGGCTATTAGCACACTGTTTACCAAGGAAACTGAAGTAAAAATCAAGTGAGATGTAATATAAGCAATTTTAGTGGCATCTGAGAGTCCTAAGCATATACTTTGAATGTAACACTTAGTCATTGAAACAGATGTAAGCCAAGCGTGTAAAGGGTAATGAATGATGTCAGCTTTTAACGAAACGATTATTTCTGATTCCTACATTTACGCATTTCATATCGCCAGTGGACTTACTGGATACTTCGGAGTATTACGTAAGTAATATATGGCATCTAGAAATGTTTGCCAGCTTGTATAGATCTTGCAGATTACATGTCAGAGTATATTTAAATTTAGGCATTTGACAACAAAATTGATTTGCTCTTCTAGTACTTACACAGCTAGCATCAAGACTTTACTTCTTGTCTATAAACTGACTTTTAGGCCACTGGTGATTTCCTAATCTCCCATACCATATTCAAATATGCTTCAAATCAGCGACGAGTACTAATAACACTCTAAGAAGGACGTTTCTCAAGAAAAAGAACCAACATATTATATAAATTCTGTGCATTTTCAGAGTCAAAGATGACAATGAAATGAAGGTAACAATTATATATCATATGGCTGTTTTAATAAGTTGAAAATCAAAAGGAGCAAATGGCTGAAAGGCAGAGATAAACCCAAAAAGAGAGGTGAATGCGTCTATAGTTGTGAAGAACTAAACAAAATAAAACACTTAATCAAAAGAAAGTTGATTTGTGACAAGAATCCGCAAAATATACTTCGAATTTCCGAGAGATAAGGTTCCATAGCCATGTCTGAAAGTTCGTCTCTCACATCTAAATGTAAACTAGTAGCATTCTTCTGCACCCCCCCCACACAACAGCACTTTTGATTCTGATTTATGCAAAGTGGGGGTAGACTAACCCTGTAGAGCAACTGGAGAGGTATGATGTGTGCCTAAACCAGTAGACAAAGCTGGCAATGAATTCTGTAATTGACAAACTCTCACAGAAGATGGACGGAATCTCATCGGTATTACGACACTCTCGTGAGTATATGGAATTGGCCTTGTTTGAAGAACAACTAGTTAGACTTTCACTGGTAAGTCTTTGTATCTGTGGCTTAGTGGTATGACACTGGCCAACCACGCAAGTAGTTTGGGGTTCAATCCCTGGCAGATGCACGCCTAAACCTGGCTTACCCTGTAGTAAATACAGTAAGGAGGTGAGGCTGAGCGTGAGGCTATCAACCCTATCTTGTTAAACACTGCTACTGAAACTTCGAAGCTATATCCTGAAGCCATTTATCCTAGTGCAAAATGAAGTGAATAAAAAAGTAGTAAATCTTGGCTAAGATACCTCGATTTGTTTTTGCGGCCACAGAAGCTGTCATCAAGTCACTACTGATGTTTCTGGTAGTTGAGACGGTAGATATTTTTCATCTGGAGCCCGTTGTCACTCAGATGATGGTTTGGACCAATAACGGCGTCTGCTTCCCGTTTTGAGATGAATTATTGTCACTGTTGGTATTTTACCTGGGCTCACAAAATCATTCATGGCAACAAGCTCAGGTGACCTAAGCATTAGGAGAATGTTCAGATTTCTCTCCCATTTCTCATCATTTTTTCTCAAACATAGCTTTTTTAATTTGGCCTCACCACTTCGATGACTTTGCGTTCAATGTCACTGGTGCGTTCTTTCATTTCTATCACTATTAATTCGCCCGACCAGCTGGAGGATTTCTGAGTGTTTGTTTGTTGCGTTCAATTTTTAACCAGCAGTGTATTTCGTCAAAGAAAGGACATCCTGCCAGCAACTTCTGCTGATCCACGAAAATTAAGACTAGGCTTCCCCTTCACGGTAACTTGGGGAGAATGATGTGGGCTTAAGGGCGACACACTTAATTAGTTAGTTTACAGATCTGTAAACCACTGACCTGTGAATGGTAAGTGAACGTGAATTTTTGTTGCAAAGTATTAACTTTTGCATGACAAATAGTGCTGAATGAGCGCTCATAACAGTGTCTGGGTTTGTCTGCTTCAAAAGGGAGTATGACCGAGTGAAATTGGTTGAACTCACCACTCTTGGGGCCAGAATGATGCCACCATGTTCGATTAATTGGTAAGCATTTACGTACGGATTTGTCGTAACGAAACAACCACGATTTACAAGTTCCATGACTTTCGAAGCATACGTCGGTCTACGATTCCTACGGTCTATACCGAAATAAAGTGCAAATTTTAATTACTTGAAGACCGTGGATCAGATCATTGTGTTTACGCTCATCTGCTTCACAGGTAGTTTTACACGTAACAGAGGGAGAAATGATCGCAATGATCAAAATGCTATTGAAAATAATGGCCAGATCCATATGTTAACGCGGAAACGCAAGTGACAGCTTTGAAATATCACCTTTCAATATTCTATATATATTCTATATTTCAATATCTACCTAAGTTTCAATGTACAATACATAAAATATTTGTGATGAGATTTTCACAACTAGTTGTTTTTTTACCATTTTTCCGACGTTTTATATAGATTTTAGGTGTTCGGTGGATTCTAGTACAACAGGACTATTTCACATTTGCTACAGTTCTGCTGAACACATTGAGTACAATTATATTAGTTTACAATGTGGAGAAGTAAATGGCTTATTCCAGAATGGAATCGCTGCTCAGAACTGAAGCTGCTGCTTCAGCAGACTGCCGTGGAGACCACTTCGAGGCGAGTTGGGAAAGTGAGTGCCGCCGTTCAATCTCCATCACATTTGTACATATTCTGGAAGGTAGGTTCCTCCCGGCTAGCTGCCTGCTCGTATACCTGACTCTCTTGCCATTCTGTTTTCAGTGTTAAATGAGGATCCCCTAATGAAAGCCAGCAGAAGGCAGTCACGAATTCTGTCGGTGGCGCTACATATTTCCAAACTATAGGGAAGCATTGACATCACATTTATATTTTAAGTAAATCAGATGCAATATTGTGACAAATGCTGAGAATTCCATTCTGTATTGTAAGTACTGTTTTTGGAATAAAGTAAAGCATTGTTATTATTAGCGCTAAAATCGAAATCTTGTTCGTTCTAATAAGTGCTGTGGACCTCTGCACTGATCTGAGGCTAGTGAACTCCTGCCGCACTTTTGGTAGTGGTCGAAAGATACTGCCAAGGTGAGTCCATCAAGAGAACTTCTATAGATTAATGCACCCTTATAGTGATTGCTACTTGCTGTCAGTAGTCGATTTTTTACACTACATCCAACTTCATCTGGAACCCTGACAACTTGTTTGATCTCGTTTTCTAGCCTTCTGTTGTGACGAGGACGTTGTTCTGTGCTAATTCTTGTAGAGCCCTATCTTTTCCTACCAAGTTTGATAAGTTTGTCTTTCATCATGCATACCCTGTGATTTAAACGGGTAGGCGTATCTGCCGAGGTAAGCCAGTCTGTTCTTCCTGTTCTCAAGTTGTGTTCGGTTTCGCCGTTTCACTTGCTCTGAGTCCTTCAAGACCGCCGTTTTCATTGCCAGTAAGTGTCGATCGGCAGTTCAATGGTCCATCTCTTTCTTTTTTGAATGCTTTCTACCTATCTTCAGCTCCATCGCACTAGGTAGAGGACTGAAGAAAAATCTCCTCTTCTCGACTGTGTATCAAGAAGGCTGCCTGCCCACTAAACTTAGACTGAAATAAGGTCTGTCTGATTTTTGGTGTGCCCATCTGGCGTAAGACATATTACGATGAATGTCTCCCTGTTCTTGTGAACGCTGCCTCCAATCATCAGGTCGTTGAAGACGCGGACATTTATGTAGAGCTCATTGTCCTCATTAATTTGTGGACGGTGTCCTGACTCATGATGAGTTCATTTCCCATGTATTTAACTCCCTGTTTGCGTTTGCATCAACCACTAAAGTTTTTCTGCTGCCATTGGGTTTCTCATCCATTATAGTTTTCTGTTGTCCCCATGAATATATTAGGACTTATCAGTGTCAATCCACACAACTACGGCGTTCCCTCTTGTTGTTGGATGTACGCGAAGAATAATAAACGATATAACAGAGGCTGAGTTGGTTTGATGAGGCCGTGTGGACGGAAGATTCCACCTCCCCTAAAATGAACATGTAGAGCCTCTACAACGTGGCATATACGTATATATTCTGTTTAGTAACTGTGGTTATTTTGGTACACAAACTTACTAGTCCCGTTATGCTAACTTTTATATTATGTGTGAACTAATATTACTGTCCTGTGTAGAAATGTTAATCATCTAGTTGCAATAATATAAAAATTTATAATTGTAGTTTGTTGTAACTACACGTTTAATGAACTTAAAATATCTATGTAGGGTAAAAAAGAGGTGGTAAGACTGAGACGTAGAAGTGCATTGTCATCTTTAAGCAGTCTGGTGACTGAGGAGATGAACACTGGAAGTGTGTTTGCATCGCGCACATTAGCTGGTAGTCTATTCCAAATGACTGAAAACTTATTCAAGAAGAAGTCGTACCGCACGTAAGTCTGACAGTGCTCTATAGCAGCTAGGTCGTGATGATTTCTAAGATTGTAACCGATGACAGCGGTAGGTTTAGTTATTGGCTCGGAGGAATGCAAGAGATGATTAGTTACCTTGTAGTAAAAGATAAGGTTTAGCTTAAGGCGTCTTTTCCAGAGTGGTTCTAATCTTAGTCTGTCGCATCGCTCACAGTATTTCAGACCAATTTCTAAACCAAGAGTTCTTGAGGTAAACTGCCGTTGCACTCCCTCTAATTTAAGCTTGTCATTTTGTCTGAGTCCGCTAAGAATAAACGGGCAGTATTCTAAGGTAGGTCGGACACATACTTTGTATAATAAAACCCTAGTTTCACAACAAAAGAAATTGCGTGTTATGCATCCTATCAGCCTTCGCGTTTTACTTCTGGCATAATCAGTCTGTTCAGCGAACGTTAGGTTACTAGAGTATCTAATGCCGAGATCTACGACTGAATTGAGCTTGGCTATTTTTCGCCCATTTCTTTCAAGAGTTAGATCTAGGCTACTGTTGCCAATACAGATCCATCTGCATTTGCCAATGTTAAAATTTAAACAGGATTCAGCACAACATGTTGCGACACTACTTAGTTCAAGATGCATTTTATTAACCATATCGCTTAATTCATGAGTGTAGCAGGAGTAGACGACTTTGAGGTCGTCAGCAGATAGGAATGGTTTACCTGAGGTGAAGCACTTGCAAATGCTGTTAATGACTGTGAATAAAAGTGGACCTAGGACACTACCTTGCACGACCCCACTTGAGATCTGCCTAGGATGAGACAATACAGATCCAACTTTGGTTATGTACCCTGTTGCTTAGAAATGATTTTAACCAGTTCAGTAATGGGTTGCGAATTCCACAAGAGTACAGCTTCTCAAAGAGAATACTGTGAGATACCATGTCAAATGCCCTAGATATATCGAAGTAGAAAACAACTACTAGCTTACATGCTTCGCGACTACTAGTGGTACAGTTGAAAAAGTCGAAGTGGCAAGTACCGCAGGATCTATTTTTGAGAAATCCATGTTGAGACCTTGCAACTAGATCTTCCCTAAGTAGGTAGTCTGATAAGTGATATTTTAAAAATTTCTCCATGATTCGCGAGACTACCAGGATTAAATTTATACGTCTGTAATTGGGACAGTTTTAATTATCACCAGATTTGAAGTGTGGAATTATGAAGCTAATCCTCCACACATAGGGTGTCAGTCAAGTCTCATAAACCGTCAATGTCCAGCTCTTACTACACTGGATCCCACGCTGTCCCTCGAGGATTTTCAGGAACGCTTAGCATTAACCGACGTTAAAACCAAAACACTGATAGGCGACTCGAGAATTATTTATCCTAACGCCAACATTTAACCAACAATACTGTTATTACAGAGTAAGGTCTGAGGACAAATGTTACAACAATAAATCACGATATTACTTCTGATATTTTTATAATCTTCCTTCTTAACAGCGAACGATGAAACGATGACTGGTGGATTGATGACCCCGCGAAAAAGTGGAGGAGTTGGGATTAAGCTAACAACCATGAACTGATCGTTCAATCTTCAACTACATTGACACTCCCCGTGAAAAATGCATCGATCCGTTTTTTCCATCACGACCAATACACGTCGACTTGGATGCCATTGCGAGGACCTGGGTCACACGGACAAAGCTGAAATGGAAAACAAACAGAAAAGCCAACACACCACAAGCATACTCACAGCACAATCTCACTCATTGATGACGACCTACGCCTTCCAGTTAAGGGTATCCTCTTGACATCTTGCAACACAATCTTGTTTGTGTCCGGACATTCTCTAACTCACAATCGTCAATCTGAGAAGGGTTGCAGGAGTACTGGTGTAAATCCTGCAATTCTTCAAAGGAATTGTATCAAGACATGATCCGCGAGGTTATGTGCACTGTTTGTATATACGTGTGGTGTGTCATATTAATTGGCGTTTTTGGATTCACTGTGTTCACTTGTTGTTTTCGTACATTGTTGTTATTGCATCATTTTGTTAAAATTTTCATCGTGCTTACTTCGGAGGTTGTTTTGAGTCTTCTCTAGCCGTGAATGAATTGACTGATGTTGAAGACATCAGATAGGTCGTATACGCCGGGGAGACTAGTACGAAGAATGACATGCACACGGATATAAGGATTAGCTGTGGAACCAATGATTGAGAATGAATGTTTCTATTTAGGCTGTGGTCCTACACGCCGGTGAGCGAGAGTGTAGACGACTGAAGCTTGCATACGTCACCGTTACTAGAACTGAGGCAGAATGAGTGACAAGCGATCCCAGTAGTAATTGGTAGTGAATAGATAAGAGGATGCGCGATGACTAGCATAAGGTGCTTCTATGGAAAGCGAATGTCGTCGTCGACGAGAGAGAATGTGCTGTGGGTATGCCTGTGGTGTGTTGGCTTTTCTGTTTGTTTTCCATTTCAGCTTTGTCCGTGTGACCCAGGTCCACAAAATGGCATCCAAGTCAACGTGTATTGGTCGTGATGGAAAAAACGGATTGTCAATCACGTCTCATAAACCGTTAATGCCCAGCTCTCGCTACGCTCGGGCCCACGC